TACCCATAGTCTCTACTATTATCTAAAAGTCTAAAGTGTTCTAGATTGAGATGGTGATACTAACTTTGATTTTCTGTTTGATGTGTTACTCTTCACCAGTGTATCCAGCAGCGTTTTTTTTTTTTTTTTTTTTTTTTTTTGTATTTTTCATACTTCAGATGTTTGTGACTAAACTCATTGTTGCTAAATAAGAACCTTATTACTAAAGCAAGCAACAGCTGTCTCCATCAGGAACAATTTCACTTGAATACCATTATTTTTTGACCGAGTTAAAAATTGTTCTCACAAATTTTGATGGGAAGTGACTAATCACGCTTGTATTGCTGCAAGGAATTTGCAAGTTCTCAATCCATTCTAATTTTATTTTCAGAATAACATTGTTAATATTATTTTCTGCTCCTTTTATTTATTGTGGATGCAGCAATAAAAAGTTTCCTCAAAATTTGGGTATCTGTCTTGAGAAAGCTTGAATTATTTTCCCAATGGGGTTCATATGAATCCTAGTAATATTCCAAATCTATTATTAAAAATTCTGAGTTACTTCATGGTTAGATGTTTTCTGTACACCTGTGAGTTTTTTCTCTTGCCCCAAATCATTTTTCCATAAGCTCTGTTTTTGGGGTGATAAAGATTTCCTGTTTTTAAGATATGTTTTGAATATGGTAGAGGGAATTACAGTTTCTCCTAGATTTAGATGTTATTAATTAGATAATTCAAATATTAAAGAAGCTTATACAATTATAATGTTCGTGATTTTTTGTTTTAGCTTTCAGATATTTGATTGATAGTGATAGAGAATTAAATAATTCCTGTAGTTTTTACTCTAAATACACAGAATGAATGTTTTTCTTCTTTTCAGGAGGAAACACAGGGAAGAAAAATGCTAAGTCCAAAATTATAAACTTATAAATATCAAAGAATACTTTTAAATCCACTGTCAACTGTAGATTGTGGCACTTGACTGCATTAGTATGGTAATTTATATTCCCTAGCCCAGAAATATAATGGGTCTGAACACTGAAGTCCTGTAGAGCTTTTGATGCTGGGACGTGTAGCAAAGAGCATTTCAGACAATTTTAAGGAAACAAAAAAGAAACATTGGTGAAAGGAAAAAATTCTGAATCATCAGCTGTCAGTGTTGAAATACATTTTTATCACACTGTGCTATAATTGCTGTCTCTATTAATGTGATGTGTATTATTGCCATGGTTATTGCTGATGTTCCAAAGTCAAATTATTGTAATTTTTTTTCTCTCTGCCTTATCAAGCATATTGTCTTTATTTTCTTTTCTTTTTTCTTTTTTTTGAGTCAAGATGTTCTATGATTTTAAGAATGGAATATTATATGACTCTCTTTGAGGTTTTCCACTTCATTTTAACCCTAGCTGTATAATATTATCCTCATTTCCATTATGCATCTTTAAATACTATTTGTTGTAGCACATTCTAAAGTACAAGCAAATCAGTATTTTCAGTTTTCCTTTCCATCCCGTTTCCCATGGAACCTCAAAACCAATTTGCTGCCTGTTATGTATTAGTGGAATAAGTTTATTTATCAGAAAAGGTTTTAAGGTATTAAGTTATATTGTGATTATCAGGATTTTCTGACATTGTTTTCATTTTGAATATTTCGTATCACTTTCAAATCAAAAGGTGCCAGCTCTAACTGTAGTGCAGTGTGTACCTGCCCCTGAAATGAGTGAAAACTAAATACAAAGAAGTACGTTGATATGTATATTGCTGTGGAATTGGCTTTTCCTGCTGGGCAGCTGTTAAAACTAATCAGATCGTGCTTAAGAGCATAATAAGGAATAACTTTAATGCTGCTTAACTATCATGGAAGCTCTGCATTCCAGCTATCATTCTTGCTTTTGGTAAATTAGACTAGGTTTTGCTGATTTGTTAAAAGCCATAGTACTGAATTTCAAAACTGATTTCATTTAATTTCCCAGTTTACAGTGGGGTTTTCGTATATGTCCATGTGTGCCTCTTCTTACAGTAACAGTAATGTTAATTGAGGGTGGAAGTAGAATAAAAAATCTGTAGGTAGAATGCATGACATATTGAGCAACTAGTTTTATTGTGTGACCTTAAGATTTTGAGATACTAATCCAATCCTTATAACAACTGAAAATGACTTTGTTGTAGTGAGTGGTCCTTCACATTTCTGTGAAATAATTGACTCAATCCTAGATGTTATTCTGTCTTTTTAGAGAGTTTTGTCTTCTTTTCAGTATCTTTGACTTTGCTTACATGTTCATACATGCAGTTGATAGAAGTCTTTGTATTGCTGTAATAAAATAATAAATTATTTCTCTTTCTGTGCAGTTTTATTGAACTGCATTGAAGGTAGGAAATAAATAGAATAATAATTTCTGTCTGTAGTACCATCTTGAGTATGAATACTTGTAAATGTGTGTATCAGATACATTTTAAAGATTTTTTTATTCCAAACAACTTGCAGAGAAGGCATTTTTAGGAATACAACTCTTTGTCAAAAGTCATGGTGGCTTATAATGTGAAATTTTCAGTGCACACAAATAATACAGGGTTTCAGAGGTGGGTTTCAAAATGGGATTGCTACCATACTGTAACACAGTATTTTCATTTTTTTCTTTTGCTGCTGTTCTACTGAGTCACACAAATGGGAATCAGTAATACTGGAGGAGGAAGAAGACAAGTTGGCTTTCTGATGAAATCCAGCACCAAAAAATACATTTTTGGTTTATCCTCAGCATTCCCTGATGAACATAATCAACAGATTTCTATTTAATGAGTATCAGAATTTAGTCTCTGTGGAAGAACTTTCAGTACTCTGTTACTACTTCTGAGCAGCTGTCTCTGATTTATTAATCTGAAATTGCAGTGTAATTTATTATCTTCCAGTATGTAGAGAAGGGGCATCTTGCACTTGTGTTTCGTCATATATTTTTACAGTTCTATTTGCTAGCTCCACTGTTATTTTCTCAGAATAATGTAAAAAGGATGAGTTTCATTGTTTGAAAAGCACAGCTTCGTGTCTTTAAAAAGCAGGAAGTGGTTGTTACACCTCCCACATAAACTTCCTCTTTCGAGTTTTAGAAAACTTTCCAAGGAGTGAAGGCCCTGAGAAAGCCTTACAGTCATCTTCATTTTACCAGTATTTGTTCCAGACCGACAAGCCCAAAAAGCTGTGTGTTAGTGTTGGGGAAAAATGTGTCCATGTGAAAGAATGGCTTTCTGATATTAATCTGGAAGACAACGGATTTTATTCATTTATTTTCTTTTTTATTTTTGGATACCTGATGAGTGGTCTATCATGACATTCAAATGAAAAATTTTATCAACATTTTGTCCTCAAACATAAACATAAGAGGAGGATACAGTGGTTTCACTTGTAGCCAAACTTTCAGTTTAGATGGGCCTCCGATCAAATAAGTTACTCATGCTAAATAACTTTCTGCTAGAAGCATGGCTATGGATTTGGTGCAATGAAGATACCACCTGTTTATAGAAATCAAGCACCTTTTCAAATGAAATTATCTTGAAAATAACAGAGAACAAAATAATTCAATGAACCTTAACTTACGTTTAGTACTTGTTTAGTTGCTTACTTGTTTAACAAGTCCTATCAAAGTTTTTTTTTTTCTATTTAATTTTATTTTTTCCACTTGTCATGAGCCAAATCTATAAATGTCCATCATGATAAATTTGAACTAAAAGTACTAGAAGCTGAGGATCCTGGGCAATCTCTGCTTTAGGGTAATTTTCAGAAATATCTCAGTTGTTTCTATTTTCTTGTATGCAAGTGGCTGTCAGTTTGAATCCCCTTCTGCCTGAGAGTACTGATATGGTTATAGTGCAGGTAGTGAATAGGAGGGCATTACGGATTCACACTCCTCCAACACCCAGTCAGCATTCATCTGAGAGCTCTAAAATGCGGGATTATGAGCCTAAGGTGTCTTGTTTGGCTGTCAAACAAGATGAGGTTGTGATTTAGGAGCTGGTTCAGAGCTGTTACTTGTTATGTCCAAAAACACAGTGATGTGTTCGGGAATTACATGGCTAAAATACAGTCATTTCTTTCGCTTAGTTCTTAGATTTTTGGAGCAAATCTGTAATTCTAACACACATGTAATGTGAACATAAAAATTATCTTACTAAATATATTAATGCCTAACAACTCCTGTTTTTTCCTTCATTTTATATCTAGAGATATAGTGTTTACTTGAAGTACAAAGTGCGTATTGGAGGACAGGGAATTTATAGCATATCTCAGACATAAATATAATATCCCTTTAACTGTCCTTCAGGTTTTGTATCAGCTTCCTGTCTAATAGGATGCATGTGAATGTCTCAAAAATTGTTATGGAGAAGGTTAAGAGGCAGGCTTACTTAGCTAATTGCCTTACTGGCAGCTGTTAACTTTCCTCCTTTTGGAAGGAGTGTTTCTAAAAGAAAAGGGCTTTGAATTTTGTTTTTGTTTAGTTGAAATGAAACGATTAGTAATTTGGTAGAAGTGTCTGTCACTTTCAGACCAGCTTTTGTAGAGCCACTTTTGTTATTGGAAGCTGAAAAATAGTGAATTATTATGTAGATGTTGGTAATACATCATGTCCTTATCTTCTATGTATGGGTGAAGCATGTTAGGTTTATGACTACACAGATTTTAGTTTAGATTGGTGTATAACTTCCAAGTTTTTTTTTTACTGTGGATTTGAACATTGAGCAAAAACAAACAAACAAAAAACAGTCATTACAAAGCAAATGTAGGCAACAACTAATGAATTCAATCACATATTGTGATGAGAGAGTGTAATAGTGCCTTGTGCATGTCTAGAGGCAAGTTAGGTGTAGACTATGTACTATGTACACTTTGCTACATGCAGTCGTGTTTGTAATACTTTGGCTTTTCTGGGTTATCACATTAGATATCTATGTTTAATTGATTATGTATTTATTAACTTACCTAAATGTTACAATTGTTTTAAAACTCTCTAATTTTTTATTTTACATGACAGCCCAAAACAGCTCCGAAAAGGACATTTGGATCAATTACAAATGATCAGGTAAATATATGGCAAGGAGTGTTCAGCAAGTATACCAGTTTCATCATTTCAAATATTACCTTAGGCATGAATCAACTGAAAAGGATGTTATGAAAATCCAATAAGGTTACAAGTTGCTTAAACCACTGGTAAATAATACTGTGATCAGAACTCGGAGCTTCTTAAAGTTGATGTTGGCTCTGAAACCTTGTTCTGCTTGAAGTAGTTAGATTACATCATTTAAACTGTCTTTTTAGATTGAAAATTCAGCATTTTATTTTTCACTCTCTGATACAGCCATGGAAAAAAAACTAACAGGTTATTTCTAAAATTAATTTAATGGTGAAAGGTACTACATAAGAGTTAATTACCTATTATACCACTTCTAAAGATTTATAGCAGTACTCTAGCGTGGGTGAAACCTTCAGATCACTGGGATAATGAGATGATTGAGGTTCAGTCCAAAACCAATCTTATTGTAGGAAATTTTGATTTCCTGAGCTTTTGCTGATGATAGATCCATTTGCTTCAACACTAAAAAATTTACACTGAAGGTTTTTTTTTTCCTGTTTCTCTTTTTAACTCTTAGTTTCTTTTCTCATGAGGGAGAGAATTATATATTTGAATCTTCAAAATGCGCTACTTGAATGTGTCATCATTTTGGGAATTTTGGAATGGGAGCACTTTCTCAGAAAATTTGTTTGATAAAAGGTGGCGTATGGCTGTGTTTAACTCTATCCCAATGTGAATTAAGTTAGGAAAAAAAAAATTTAAAAAAATCCCTTTATTTTAGTAGTTTAAAAAGATGCATGATCCTCTAATGAACAGCAAGAAATTTTCTTAAGTAACTTTTTTTTTTTTTTTTTTTTTTTTTTTTTTTTTTTTTTTTTTTTTTTCATAAAAATTACTCAATTGGTAATAATTGACCTGGAATTGTTCTTTGCATTCTTTTCTGTTTCTCCATTAGTTTATTGGTAGTTATGGAGAATCAAATCTATTAATTTTATGGTATAATGAAGAATTGCTTTTGACTTGATAGTTGAAGAAATGCAGAGATGTGTATTCATTTGTATAATTGAACCTATTGAAAGTCTATGAGAATTTTTTGTTGTAGTTGTGAGATACAATGATAGAATAATTACTGCCCATCTGTCAATTTGTGTACAAATAAAGAAGTAAAAGATAGCTGATATGTCCGCCCCCCTCCACCAGCTTGTTACATTTTTTTTTTTTTTTCTGGAATTCTATATTAAAACATATATAATTCATTATTTCTTAGTAGTTATGCAATTTATTACAACTAACTGCTAGGCTGATTGAAGATGAACAGGAAACCCACACTTTCTCTCAATAGAGAGATAAATGTAGAATTGCTGTTTGAGAAGACATTTCTTTTAAAACTAATATTTTCGTGTCTTCTACTGAATAAGTAAAAGCTGTGTTCTTATTTATTGTTTCCGAATGTGCTCCACTTCACTTTAGACTGCCCCTGGTTGCAATATAATGTCACAAATACTGTGCAAGTTGCTCAGTTATGTTTGAAATGGGGATGGATAGTTCTTTTCCATGAAAGAAATGTTTGTTTATGTCAAATTCTGATTGGCAAAACACTTAAACAAAACAGTCCATTCTTACTCAGAATTTGTTTTGTTTTATTGTATTTATTTTAGCATGCTCTTTTCAACGCAAGGCTTCTGAAGGAAGCCATGTTTGTCAAATAAATATAGTATTTCTTCAGATCATGTCCGGAGTTATTCCATGAGGCAGTCCCTTTAACTTTCTTGTTTTCCTTCAAATTGAAGATTTTAAGTCCTTCAGTGCATGCATTACCTTACATTTGGACACTTTGAACTTTGGCTACATTGCTCTTCTCCACACTCACTGGTACAGTATAGAAAGCAAATCACATCTGTCCAAGGATTTTCTCTTTTCTTTAGGAGGAGAGCAGTTGGTTTAAAGAGCAAACACAGCACCAAGAAAACAGCAAACAAACCACAATGTGTACACCTACCCCCCCAAAAAAACAAAACAAATACTCATAGCCTGTTATTCTAAAGTATAAGTTCATTTCCATGTAAGTTCTGAAGCTTTTTTTAAGGTCCCTGGATGGCTTAGAGCAAAATTAAATATTGCAAACGAGGAGTAAAATATAAAAGTGTCAATTCCTGCATAATGCTTATATATTTTGTGATAATTTCAGAACATTGAGATGATTCTCTGCTTAAATGTACTACTATGCTAAAGTATCTTCTTTCTGTGTCTTGTAGGGTCAGAATGTATTTGGTCTTGATATAATTGAGACACCTGAGGGAGATAAGTGGCCTCAACTGATTGTCCAGCAGATCCTGGATAGAGAGCAGAAGGATACCTATGTGATGAAAATTAAAGTTGAAGATGGTGGAAGTCCTCCAAGATCTAGCACTGCAATCCTGCAAGTCACAGTGACTGATGTGAATGATAATCGTCCAGTCTTTAAAGAGAATGACATTGAAGTTAGTATTCCAGAAAATGCTCCAGTTGGCACCTCTGTTTCTCAGCTCCATGCCACTGATGCAGACCTGGGCTCAAATGCACAAATCCACTTCTATTTCAGCAATCAGATCTCCAGCTTGGCCAAAAAGCTGTTTGCCATTGATAATGCCACTGGTCTCATCACCATAAGAGAGCCACTAGACAGGGAAGAATCTCCAGTACACAAACTAACTGTTTTGGCAAGTGATGGCAGTTCGACTCCATCAAGAGCAACGGTGACTGTTAATGTCACAGATATTAATGACAATGTCCCATCAATTGACACAAGGTACATCATCAATCCAGTGAATGGGACAGTGCTCTTGTCTGAGAAAGCTCCACTTAATACAAAAATTGCATTGATAACAGTAATGGACAAGGACGCTGATCTGAATGGAAAAGTTACTTGTTTTACAGATCATGATGTCCCTTTTAGACTAAAGCCAGTGTTTGATAATCAGTTTCTTCTGGAGACAGCTACATTTCTAGATTATGAATCCACACGGGAATATGCTATTAAAATAGTAGCTTCAGATTCAGGTAAACCTCCCTTAAACCAATCTGCAATGCTCTTGATCAAAATTAAAGATGAAAATGACAATGCCCCAGTTTTCACACAGCCTATCATAGGTCTTTCCATCCCTGAAAACAATGCTCCTGGTACTCAGCTAACCAAGATAAGTGCTACAGATGCCGACAGTGGGCGCAATGCTGAGATCAGCTATATTCTGGGTTCCGATGCACCCCCTATTTTCAATCTTGACCGCCGCACAGGCATTCTGACAGCAGTGAGAAAGCTGGATAGAGAAAAACAAGACAGGTACTCCTTCACTGTACTGGCTAAGGATAATGGGATGCCACCCTTGCAGACCAATGCTACTGTGACAGTGTCAGTCCTGGACCAGAATGATAACAGCCCTGCTTTCACACACAATGAATATAATTTCTATGTTCCAGAAAACTTACCCATGTATGGCACAGTAGGGCTTATCACAGTAACAGATGCTGATTCTGGAGAGAATGCTGCAGTCACTCTGTCTATATTAAATGGTCGAGATAATTTCATTATCGATCCCCTTACTGGTGTAATAAGACCTAATATTACTTTTGATAGAGAACAGCAGGGGTCATACACTTTTCAGGTGAAAGCAGTGGATGGAGGAAGACTGCAGCGTTCCTCAACGGCCAAAGTGACGATCAATGTTGTTGATGTAAATGACAACAGGCCTGTTTTTGTAATTCCTTCATCAAATTATTCATATGAGTTGGTTCCAACATCATCCAATCCAGGTTCTGTTGTTACTAAAGTCTTTGCAGTTGATAATGACACAGGAATGAATGCAGAGCTCCGTTACAGCATTATAGGAGGGAATTCAAGGGGCTTGTTTGCAATTGACCAGTTAACAGGCAATATTACATTGAAAGAGAAGGTAATCACATCAGATCATGGCTTGCACAGACTGGTGATAAAAGTCAATGACCTAGGACAGCCAGAGTCTCTTTATACTATAGCTCTTGTGCATTTGTTTGTGAATGAGACGGTCACCAATAGTTCCTACATACAAGAGCTAGTGCGCAGGAATATGGAAACTCCAGTTGGCCAGAACATTGGGGATGGTGAGATAACCCCACAAACCAATGATTATGTCAAGATCATAATTGCGATTATTGCAGGCACAATGACGGTTATTCTGGTAATTTTTGTTACTGCATTAGTACGGTGCCGCCAGACTCCCAGGCACAAAGTTGTCCAGAAAAATAAGCAGAGTGGTGAGTGGGTTTCCCCAAACCAAGAGAATAGGCAGATCAAGAAGAAGAAGAAGAAGAAGAAACGCTCTCCAAAAAGTCTTCTCCTCAATTTTGTGACTATTGAAGAATCTAAGCCTGATGATCCTGGCCATGAGCACATAAATGGCACTTTAGACATTCCTGTGGAACTAGAAGAACAGACTATGGGAAAATATAACTGGGCCACTACACCAACCACATTTAAGCCTGATAGCCCAGATTTAGCAAAGCACTACAAGTCTGCTTCTCCACAGCCAACCTTTCAAATTAAACCTGAGACTCCTGTACCCCCCAAGAAGCACCATGTCATTCAGGAACTGCCTCTGGATAACACCTTTGTGGTGGGCTGTGATTCACTCTCCAAGTGCTCATCAAGCAGCTCGGATCCTTACAGTGTTTCTGAATGCAGCTGTCAAGGAGGCTTCAAGACCCCAGGCCCCATTCACACCAGACAGGTAATGGAAATTTTAAGGTTCTCTCTTTCTCCTTCGCTTCTTTCTTTTCCATTAATTTAGCTCTAATTCTAAGCACTGCAAAATAAATTTTTCCACAAGGATTAAAAGTTACGAAAAGTCATGTTTGATAGAAGCATAAAAAAAAGGTAAACAATTTGAGATTCTTCAGTGTTAAGAAAAAAATTAAAATGCTGCAAGGAAATCAAGCTGTGAATTATTACACTGGTGGGTATTCTGGACTGCAGATGGCAGTATGGCACTTCCTGCATTACCTCTGTACGCTGTGCAGCTGTGTGAAACAAAGAGTGTTTATGGTACTGTCCTCTGTAGTATTGTGTGCTCAAGAGTTGAAGCAATCTAGGCCAGGTGGAAAACAATAAAGCTTTACAGGACCTCATAAGTGGTTCTTAATATTAATGGCGCCTGGAAATGCAACCATCATTTGGGCATAGCTTTACTTCAAAGTCACTAAAAGCAGGCAAGGATTTTCATCGGAGAGATTCAGTGCCATTTTCCAAAGTAGCAGACTACTTGAGTAGAATGGCAATGTCAGTAGGTAAAGCTGTAGGAAAATAAGAAGCATTGGTATAATTGTTCTCACATTTTTGCTCCTATGCTTGGTAAACCAGATACTAACTTCTCAAAAATTCAGTACAGCGTAATGTCTGAAGACTTCTTAGCTTAAAATTAAAAATAAGATAAGAATCTACAGGACACTACAGAAAGGCTGCAAGTAACTGAAAATCAAATATAATTTCTATATATGTTTTCGAAGGTTTTGTAAGTAGTAAATTTTGTCTACTTGTCTGTTTTTATTTAAGAATATCACAATGTTTTCAGTGAAAACAGTTTTCTAGTCAAATTTTAAAAGAATCAATTATTAAATATTTCAGAAGAGCTTATTATATCATTGATGTTACATTTTAATATTATTTTTTGGGAACAAATCCTCAGCAAGACTTAGTCTGTTAGACTTCTTGTTCAGTTGAGGTTTTAAATTTTCTGTGAGCTTTGTTTTGTGAGCTACATTGATAACAAAATGTACATGAAAACTGCATGATATCCTGCTTGTTCTACTTAATTTTTTCCCTCTTAACAGCACAGATTTCTGTGGTAACCCATGTAGCTGTGTATTACAAAATGGAGTTTTGAGTATCACTAACAGTTAAGTTGAGGAAAAAATAATAGAATTTCTTATTTTTATGACAGCAGTAGAAAACGTGTACTTTTTCAGATTTGAATATTTTGTATCAAAGGTATTTAAATATGTTAATTTAAATTGGGCATTAGAAAAGTTTCTTGCTAGTTTGTTCGTCTGTTACATTTTTCCTTATGGTGAGGTGGGTGGTGCTGTTTTCAGCATCTCAGTAGGCCTGATCTAAGTGATTTTTCAGTTGAGTTCAGGGACTCCAGTATACCTCCTCCAAGCCAAAAAGATTCTTCCACTGTCTGCTCAAAAGCAGTCTTTGTAACGCACCAATTCTACTAAAAAAGAAGGTAAGCTCATGACACTCCAGATTTTTATAAACTTGGTTCTTCCATCAGAAGGGACATTTAAAGTAGAATGGACTTCTTCTACAGAAGTCTTTCTGGAAAAAATCTTTTAACTATACGTAAAAAGTCATTCACAGGGGTTTCCTGTCGTTGAGAGAAGAATAGAACTGTTATTTTGTTTATTTATTTTCATATACTCATTACCTGATACAACTGTACCAGAAATTGTATTAGTACGGTGCATAAAAGGTTAATTTTTTCATACAGAAGAGTGACCACATTATTGGAGAAATTGCAACTCCTCTCTGACACTGGCCCTTTCCACTATTTGGAAAACAACATTTGCCTTTAACTGTTACTTAATTTCATTTTATTTAAATAAGTAATAAAATATTAATGCATTTATTTACATAAGTTGGGCAAGAGAAGCCATTTGAGTTTAATCCTTTGTGTTGGATTGTAATTACAGCATTGTGTTTTATGATAAGCAAAACAAACTATATTTCTTTAATCTCAGTATTTTTTGTAAAAACAAGTCTTACTCATAACCTGTTTTTTTGTGTAATTATAGTCTGTGTAGTTTTATCTTCTGTGAAGGTACACTCAGGACAGACTGTCTTAGAGTTGTCACACTTAGCCAGTAAAGAGATGAAACAAAAGAAACTCTACTTAGTCTTTCAGATGTCATGTTGCCCTCAATTCACCAACCTTATAGACAGGTGGGATCTTTTTGGTTAGTGATACCTTTATGTTGTGCACTCTGAATTTTCAGAAAATGCAGGACAGCAAGGAGAAGTGAGATAATTTCAGTTAAAAAGGCAGATGTGCTAGTTTGAGAAATGAAAATAAGAAATGAAAATAAGAAAATAGTTTGAAAAACATTATTCTACTGCAATCATTACTGTAATACTTCCCTATTACAAGCCAAAATCTCTCTGAAGGAGAAAACTAAAGATTATGCTTGCTGTGAGTTTATTTATTTTCATTTTGAATTAGTTATTGATATTAACAAGCCTCACATCTCAATAGCTCTTAGCTTTATCTATGCAAGACATTTGAATTACTGATTTAAAGATAAAAAGTTACGTGATTTTTTGAAGCTTTAAATCGGAATAATATCAATTGTCTTTAAAAAAAATAATCTTATGTTAAATTTGTAGAAGCGATGTACAAAATGACGAAGTCATTGTAACAGCTGTACTCAAAAAAATTGCAAACGAGAATCACAGGGTTGGAAGGGACCACAAGAATCATGAATCTCCAACCCCCCTGCCACATGCAGGGCCACCAACCTTCTCATTTAATACTAGACCAGGCTGCCCAGGGCCCAATCCAATCTGGCCTTGAAAACCTTCAGGGACGGACCATCCACAACCTCTCTGGGCAGCCTGTTCCAGTACCTCACCACTCTCTGGAAACAATTTCCCCATGACATCCAGAATGTAAAGGATTTTCTACTAAAAAGCCCAAAGAATGTCTATGTGGGCTATGTGGGCTAATAAATACTGGAGTAGCAAAGCTCAGAGTTTTGTGGGAATCAGAAGCAACTGAGGACACATTGGATTGTTGACTGCGGGAAGCTGAAGAGGGAAACGTGTGGTGCTAATATAATGCAAACAAGGAGAGACAGTAAGCTTCTCTGATTCTTCTGTGTGGGAAAGGGTAATAGAAAGAGATATTAATATTATTTTGAAGTCACATGTTAGGTGCTAATACTAGTGAGAGTAAACTGGTACCTTCAGAATAGCGTGCTTTCCTTCGGGATGCTGTAGATAGATGTATTAAGGAGGTTCTATCATATGCTAAACTGTGAAGGGGCTTCTTGCTCATTATATGTTTGGGTTGTTTTTTTTTTTTTTTTTTTAAAGTAAGGTTTATAAAATCAAGGTAACTTTCATTGTCTTCAGAAGAATGTATTTTTTTGGAGAGAAACATATACACATTTACAGCTTGTCTGTCTACAAGCTTTGTAAAAATTCAATTGCTTTTGACATTCACCTTAGTGAGAGAAGGCTGTATGAAATATATACTTTCAAAAATCTTTTTTTCATTTGCATTGGAAGTTGAAAAGGATGTTTTTGTTTTTTTCAATGCATTATTCATATCACATGTAACACAAATTTTAAAATCTGGAATCTTTGCTCAGGTGTTTCAAACAACATTCAGACAATTCGAATGCCTGTCAAGGGATCAACATATTTAATCAAAACATTCATAATTATAGTATACAATGTTACCTCTGGCAGCTGGGTTCTGAGAAACTACTGCTGCAAAGATTGATTAAAACTTCACATCTCCTCCTCCTTGTCTCTTTCTTTCAGTTAATACTGCTTGTGACATTCGTTCATTTGAAAAAACCGTACTGCACACTATAGGAACAGTATAAATATCCTAAAATAAGCAGCTGTTGACTAAGGAAGGGTACCATCAACTTTTTTATTATCACTTTTTCTGGCCTTTTGTTAGTGAAAAGGTATGACTGCATGAAAGCAGTGATGGCAGGACTTGGTTTAGTTTCAGTTCACTTCTTCAGCTGGTACAGCTGGAATATGTAGTCATTCTCTGAACTGTTGGAATATATGTATAAACATACTGTTTGAATGACAAATGTATAATCATGCTCTGTTTCTGTGCTTGGTGGTGGTTATGCCTGCTTTGGACTCCCATCCATATGTTAACATTTCCACTGTTAGTACACTATGCCATCTTCAGAAAAAAATGGTGGAAATGAACAGGTATGAAGATTGATTTTCTCATATTTACTACTGTAAAGCTTCATTAATTCATTTATTTGCAAGAATTCTATCATGTGTGAATTTACCTGTGTGTATGAATGGAGATTTCAAATAACAATGTGATCTGAACTGTGAACTTGTTTCTTGGAAAGTAATCAGAGATAGACATTAATTTTATATTAGAAAGTAGACCTTATTTATGGTGCGTTGCCTTTTTGGGGGCTACTTTCTTACTACCAACTGCTTACGCAGGCCTACAGTTATGATACATATGGTTTTCTGTTTCTGATTTGAAATGTGAAATGCCATTACTGTTTTTCACTCAGTATGAGAGCAGTGTGCTTAGAATGCAAATTAAAAGAATATTGCGCTTTCCTGAAACAAAAAGCTCTGAAAACTCATGTGATATGCAGATCTTTAGATGCATGATTTAGGTAATTTGGGGTAATAAGTGAGGGTAGTGAGTTTAATCCAGTATCCTGTAATTATCAATAGGCTTCTGATGTGTGAAAGGGTGTATAGGTAATGCTGTGTTTTGCATTGACAAATACAGAGTAAATTACACTCAAGAAACTCTAAATGTCAGACAAATAGCTGTTGGTATAACCCTTCCCAAAAGCTGTCTTAGAGGTGATTACTACAACTGACTATTCTTGTTATTTTCTCTTAATTTTCTAGCTGGTAATTTAGCTGGTAATTCTGGTATGATTCTGTGTATGAGCATTTCAGTAAGAACTGAAATTTGTATCTGGAGAAAAAGATGTTACTGAA